AATTAATCCTGCTAAAAGTTATATTATTCCTTAAACCGTATTTAAGAATAGTACATTAATAAATACAGGTAATGTATTTTTATTCTCTTAAAGATTATTGAAACCGCTTTGGTGACATCTGCTTTCATTTTCACCTGTGGCAGCATATATGGTTCTGTCGGTCACCCCACACCAGACAATACACAGTAACGATACACTATAGTGATGGCCGATTCGCGAACGAATCGTTCTTTTTAACTCGGTTTTTTTAGTGAATGAGTTGAACCGATTCGTAAGTCTGAACGAATCGATTTTTATAATTATTTTAAAACGTTTTTAAAACTGATCTTTGGCTATTCAACACCCAAAAGCATCCCCCGCGATTTCGAATTTATTTTTCATGTTTCGTCTGCACTTGTTTTATCACTTTTAGGCATAGGCGGAGTTTAGGGGGGGCACTGCTGAAATGGACATTGTTAAATGTGCTATCCCATCGCCGATCACCCTTGAAAAACCTACAAATGAAGTGCGGAAGGATCAATATGCAAACTTTTACCGACTCCTTCAGCTCGCTCTCACACTGCCCGTTAGTTCTGCTGCCTCATAAAGAACTTAATCAGTGATGAGAAGAATAAGAAATTGGCTCCGATCTGCAATGACTGATTTTTCCGGTCTTTCCCTACTGCACATAGAAAACGAGTTGACTGCAAATTTAGCAGGAGAGAAGATAGTGGACATCTACGCAAATCGGAAAAAGAGGCGGATTCTTCTACATTAGGTAAGATGTAAGTTTTTATTCCACTCTTTGTGTAGCCTACCAGTCATTGTTAATTTAAAATTTATTTTAATTTAAGAATAAATTATATAGGCTACAAATAATTGAAAGTGGAAAATGTGGTATACTGTATGTAAAAGAAAAAAAATAAATAAAACTGAGTTCGTGGTCACCGGTAGGTGCCCCCCCCCCCCCCCCGTTCGGCCGTTCGTGGACTTCCGTCTGGTGCCAAGGACACCCGAACGGCCGAGTACCTGGTCTCTCCAAAAAAACCCGAGAGCCTGTTCGATGAACGATTCGAACTTACGGGTTTTCGGACACTCGGTCGGTGACTCAAACGAACGGTTCGCGAACCGATCCCAAGAGCCATTGCGGCGTTTACTGCGGAAATGCAGTTACGCTGTTAAAAGGAGTAAAATAAACGCAGCTCTTCATCATTTATCACAACAGTAAATTATTGTATTTCTGTATAATAAAACTATATGTCTTTCATCAAAGAACAAACTAAGATATTTATTAACTTTGACGTTTACACAACAACGTATGCAAGTTTACTCATGTTTATTGTATGTGTATGTGTGATTGTATTGGTACTATTGCAGTTGTTAACTGTGATGTAGTCCTTCATACTCATGCACATGAATTTGGCTTAAGAAAATAAGAACTATATATACACACGTGTTTATTCAGCATCGACACCCTTTTTATATATTGTTTTTTTTTATTATTGTGAATACTTAAGCTGAACATTTTTGTTGAACACCAGCGCTATCTTTCAGTCAAATAACGTAACCTTGAGACAGTTATCCGATCCCATGATTCGTTCAGTCATATGGTCAGGCGCAAAAAAATGGCGAAAAAAAAGTGAATCATAGAATCGATTTTAGAATTGATTCATTACAACGGACAGTTCCAAAGAATCGAAGCAGTTAATTGAGCCGAACTTCCCATCACTAATACACACACCCACATGACCCTGTCTGTCAAACACATCTGACATATCAGTATAACGAAACACGACCACGTGGATCAAAAACACATCTGGCCAATCAGAATGATGAAAATAATGTCATTTCTGAAAAGGATACGGTATTCT